TTCAAAGAATTGCATTCGAAAAGCTTGGCATGTTGTGAAACTCAAAATCTTTGACCCAAATTTCTCAAAACTGGGTACTTACTGAGCAGATAAAACTTTGTAATTCTAAGATAGCGCTTGGTCAAAACTACGAGGTACACACATCAGGAAGAGCGAACGACATCATGGCATCAGACTTTTGCTGTTTGGAAATTGAGAATTACACTCCCAGGAACAATGTATTCCTCATCCTCCTCTCCTCCCACACACTTTCCAACTCATCCCCTCACCCTCCTCTTCTACCCCATTTTTCAATCACCAAAACAAATTACTTAGTTTTGATGACAAGTGTTTTGTTGTCGTTGTTGTTGCTGTTTTTGTTGCTGTTGTTGTTGTTGTTGTTGTTGTTGTTGTTGTTCAGTAATGAAGAGGCTAATGACGTAGCTGACACGTACCATGTCTGATCATCAGAAGACCAAATGCAATTCTGTAGCACATTTCGAAATAACATCATACACACATAAAAAAACATTTATATTCGGAGATCCTGCTTCTTTAATAACCTTACAGTGTTGGAAGAGGCGTTAAACCCATCATCATCATCATCATCATCATCATCATCATCATCATCATCAGCATCAGCATCATCATCATCATCATCATCATCATCATCATCATCATCATCATCATCATCATCTCGGACTCGCAACCGTACGGTCGTGGGTCCGAATCCCGTCAAGGGCCCGACGTTGTGTCCTTGGGAAAGGCACTTTACACGAATTTTCCTCACTTCACCCAGGTGGGAATGGGTACCCGGCTATAGACAGCGAAAGATCTTGTCAGTTTGTTAGTGTTTGAGCGCTTAATCGGCTGCTTGCACTGTATGCTTCCCGGGAAGCTGAGAATGTTTCGGAGTGTTCTATGGTCTGCTGGGGTAATAATATAGTGTAAAGCGCATAGAGCCTGCTTCTGAGCGGGGATATGCGCTATACAAATGCTATCTATTAGTATCATCATCATCATCATCATCATCATCATCATCATCATCATCATCATCATCATCATCATCATCATCATCATAAGTAGGCCTACCAGATCTGAAACAGACATTGGATATCATGATTGTCAAGTCATTTCTCCTCTAGTATGCTCTCAAAAATCCTATATTCACTATCATCACTATCACTCATCCTTTCCGGGTTTTGCAAATAAGTTTCTCTTTGTCTACCGCTGCCTCGCTCTCTATCCGGTTTTTGTTTGTTTGTTTGTTTTTGTTTTTTGGGGGTTGTTGTTGGGGGGCAGTTTTTTTGTTGTTTTTGGTTTGTTTGTTTTGGGGGGGGGGTGAGGGGGGGGGGGTTGTTGAGGTTTTTTTTCGTAAAAATCAAGACATTAATTTGAATCAGTTAACATTTATTGAATATTTCCAACGACTGTGACAGATTAATGAGGTCATCGAGTCCAAACAGAGTGTGTCCAGCGTGGTCTTCTTCAACGTCACGTGGACAGACGAGGACCTGGCCTGGGACGTGGAGGACTACGACAACATCACCATGGCAACGGCACCCCCCGACAGGTAAAGGCACGTGCTGTTGGAACGTGCCGAATCTGACTTTGGCGGGAGTTTTTGGTCGTACTTTTTGCTCGTAGTTTTTAGCTCGAAGTTTTTGGTCCGAGTTTTTTTTCCCCGTCTACTTGCATAGTCAACAAGATGACGGATTGAGTTTTATTTTATTTTGATTTATGTTTTGTAAGCGTTTTATGGCACTTGCAACACAATTAGGTCACCGAAGTGCCGAACACAAGAGGTGTTACTAGAGAATAAGAAGCATTAAAAAGATGATAGGATTGAAGGAGGAGAAATAAAGACGATAGATGTTTGATAGGAAAGAAGGAGGGGAGATAGGGATGATATACGATTGATAGGAAAGAAGGAGGAGAGATAGCGACGATAGATGTTTGATAGCAAAGAAGGAGGAGAGATAGCGACGATAGATGTTTGATAGGAAAGGAGGAGAGATAGGGACGATAAATGTTTGATAGGAAAGGAGGAGGAAAGATAGGGACGACAATTGTTTAATAGGAAAGGAGCAAACCACCAATCACCTACTTAAATCGTTTGAACGAGTGCCATGGTCTACAGGTCTGTAGCGGCACACAGGCTAAATGATCACCAGGGATAATGTTCTGTCAATATGTTGTCTGACGGTGATTAGCACACGGCATAGAGAAAAATGGTACTTCTGACAAAACTAAGTGCACTTTATTTTAAGCAAAAAGCTTTCCCACAGAATTTCACTTTCCTTCAATCATATCAGTTCTTCCGATGCTCTAAAACAACTTTCAGATATTGTTCTATTCTAGTACTGTTTCCAGATACAGTTATAAGAAAGCACTCCCCCCCCCCCTACCCTCTCCCTAAACCTTTGTTGGTTTTTTTCTTTCATAGAAAATGAAATAAAACCGTGCCAATGAGCGAAACAAAGTTCTCCTTAAAGTCAACTCAATTACATTTATCAATGATTTATTTATAGAGGCAGCAGCCATCCATGCCCAGGTTCTGGTTTAGCCAAGTCAACTCACTCTGTCTCTTCCCTCTCCGCGCTACTGACGTAGACATGCCCAAAGATAAAGCTCAGATTGAGATTCTCCGGCATTCTCAAAACAACTCCAAACTTGCAGCACAAAAAGGTCATATAAGTGCCGAAGATTAGAGGTGTTACAAGGGAGTAACAAACACAAAAAGAAGGAGGAGAGATAAGGACGACAGACGTTTGATGGGAAAGAAGGAACATACCACACCAGAGCACCAGCCAACCGCCCACAAAATCATATCTCCAACTCCTCCTTACTCTGGCTGCGTTGAAACGGTCAACCCCAGCTCTGTCAACTAACGCTTATGGATTACTACCTTTGAAAGGACCAAAGTTAAAGCTAAGATTCCAGCTCCCGTCAAGAGTGTACGTCGTTCATCATCCCGCCATTATCCTCGAAAGAAAAGAACTCTTTGATCGGGACTTACATCCCCCAACATGTACGGGCATTTTGATGAATGCCTTGTTCACGGACATCTTAGATCTGTCGTAGCAATCTTTCCTGGGACAAGGGCAGCCCTTGTAGTGGTAGCAGAGGTTTGTGTCTGTGTAAGTGAACGCCACGCACGACTGGTTAGAAGCACAGCCCGAGGCGCACGCACCTCGACCACACTCCGGGCACGCCGTGAGCAACGTAGGAGGGGAGACCATGAAGCTTTCTTTACACGAGTCGATCGACATGAACTTGGTAAACTCTGTGGCGACATTTGCAGCCGATGCGTGGGTGTAGAAAGTGAACAGACACGCTACTACTGATGTACAGAACACGGGGCTGTGAAGAAACATCACGTCGGATCAGCGATAGATTTTAAATCCCTGTAGTTCATAAATGGTCGCTTTTAAGCACAAGGGGGCTATCCGGAAAAATGCTGTTTTGGGAATATCGAAGGTAAAATTTTTGGACCCTTGTTCAGTTTCATTAAAAAACAAGGAGAGTTTTCTCTATAACTAAATAAATATACACAACAATAAAACCAAACTTCTCCAATAGGTAGGGGAATGCCCACTTCTGGTGTAGGTCAAGATTTCTGGAAACCCCCGAAATCTGGATAAGCCCGCTTGTCCTTAAAATGGACTAAATGTGATGATCCGGTGGTCTGTCTAGTGGTTAGGCTCTCATACTCTCAAAATAAGGTGAAGAGTTCCAATCTTGTCAGTGGGTCTGACTAACTTTCCTCCCTTCCCCCTGGTGAAAATGGGCAAAGAAAGTATACACTACGGGGGTAGAGTGTCTTTGGAAAGGGTACCCAGGTATACGCAACGAAAGATCTTGTCAGTTGGTTAGTGTTTGAACGTGTGTAACCCGCAGCTTACACTGTATGTTTCCCGGGAAGCCAAGAATGTTTTTGAGTCGTAATCAATCACAGTATAGTTGTCTCTCTTGATGTTGAGGGAGGAGCCTGAAACAGAGAGAGAAGAAAGGAGATAGGGATGCAGTGGTTGATTGGAACAAAAAATTGAAAAGAAAGGTGGACAAAGAGAAATGTTAGTTTTTGTAAGAGTTTTACAGCACTTGCAACGTAATAAGGTCTATAAGAGCCTAAGATTAGAGGTGTTACACGAGAGTAACAAACACAAAAAAGAAGAATAAAAGATCAGCATGATAAAAGTTTGCATTGATAGGAAAAAAGGAGCAAACCACACCAGAGCCCCCGCCTACAAAGTGCAAGAAAGTAATATACAGAAAGAAAGAGATGTTATTTCTTAGCTTTAAACAATAAAGACGTAAACACTTGTATTTCTGCAATCTCTTCCATCCGTGTTAAATATTGTTCCGTTCGTAGAAAGGGGGGATTGTTCCAGTGGTTTCCAATAGACAGATGCGAACAGAGATTGTTTTAAAAGAACGTGACATTCCAATAATTGAGGCTACCGTTTTTCACCTTAGAAGCGTTTGCCTACACTTCAAAGACGTCTTGCAGACGCACGTTTTGTTGTTGTTGTTTTGTTTTTTTTCCTTTTTTAAAAAACATTTCTTTGGGGTTATTCTTTTGTTTGCTGTTGCTGGTTTTTGGGGGGTTATTGTGTGTGGTTTTGTTTGTTTGTTTGTTTGTTTGTTTGTTTGTTTTTGGGGGGTGTATGGTGTTTTAATCGGTACATGCAAGTGTTATTATTATTATTATTATTATTATTATTATTATTATTATTATTATTATTATTATTATTATTATTATTATTGTTATTGTTGTTGCTGTTGTTGTTGTTGTTGTTGTTGTTGTTGCTGTTGCTGTTGTTGTTGTTGTTGTTGTTGTTGTTGATGTTGTTTTTGTTGTTATTATCACTTGTTTTTAATCATTATCATTATCATTATTCAACAATAATGCAGATCATCTCTATAGCGCTCTTTTCCGTACTAGCAATACAGCTGTACGTGATGAGCAGAACCTTCGTCTCTCAACAAAAAAATGAATACGTCGTGCGCATGAAAGTACATACATGTACAAAATATTCTCTCTAAATTAGAAACAGCTGCTATAAGCTTCTCAAAGAAAACGTGCAAACAAGAGAAATCAATGATGAGTTGTGTTAGGATCATTTATCTACACAAAAACCTCCTTATCTTATCATTGATGGGTTGGGGTTTTTTCATCCTTTCCGTACGTCGAGTTTTACCATCGTATCCATACGACGTGGGGAACTCTGTGACACCACTTTCCAAAGAGGAAATTTACTCGTTAATCCGATCTGTACGCTTTGCATAGCAGTCGGTCAAAATGATTATTTTAGTAAAAATCTGAAAGTTCCAAAGATATTTAAATATATAAAAGGGCGATGGGAGCGCGAAAACACCTACATTTGAATTTTGTTTTTGTTTTAGTAGTAGTTTTACGGCGCTCGCAACTACATAATCAAGTCATAATTAGGAGCTCGCACATTTGAATTTGATTTGATTTTGAACTTACCGTCTAAAGATTCCTGGAAATACACCTCGCAGTTCTATGATATTGTTAAAGCATGTTGTTTCTTTGTCTTCGATCACTTGAGGAACTACAATAAAACAATGTGTCACTTACAATAAGCTTCTCTCCTTTATATTACTTCTATCTGACAAAAAATTATCTCCTTTATAATGCTTGAATCTAGCAATAACCCTCTCTCCTTTATAATGCTTGTATCTAGCAATAACCTTCTCTCCTTTATAATGCTTGTATCTAACAATAAGCTCCTCTCCTTTCTCCTTTATAGTGCTTGAATCTAGCTATAACCCTCTCTCCTTTATAATGTTTGTACCTGAGAAAACATTCTCAAGAATGATACCATTGATTTAGAACAATACTATGGACCCGTATCATTTTGGAGATGCCAAAACCCACCACTCAATAGATTCAATATTTCAGAGCATGGGCATGGCAAATATTTTGGAGGGATGAAAAAATGTCGAGCAAATGTTTCCGTCGGTTCAGAGACGTGCGATATTGACAGACATGAGTCCCCATGTCTTTTGTTGACGAGGTAGTCATGGTGTGAAAGTGTCGGTGGCCTTATGGTTAGGCTCTCAGACTCGCAACTGTAAGGTCGAGGGTTCGAATCCCGCCAGGGGCCCGACGTTGTGTCATTGAAAAAGTCACTGTACACAAAGTTACCTCACTTCACCCACGTGGGAATGGGTACCCAGCCATAGACAGCGAAAGATCTTGTCAGTTTGTTAATGTTTGAGTATGTGCTATCCTCAGCTTGCACTGTATGCTTCCTAGAGAAACCGAGTATGTTTCTGAGAGTTCTAGGCAAACAGTTTGCAAATACAGTACGACCGTATTCAGTTGCAAACGCCGTAAAACATTCACTCCCCCACCCTGCCCCCCCCCCCAAAAAAAAAATTTTTTTTTTAAACAAACAAAAAAAATCAGTGACCTTTCGAAAAGGATACATTGTCTTTTCTTTCAAAGGTGCAAGCAATTAATATGTACCACGAAAAACCAAATCAATTCTTTCTGTGTATCTGCCTTGGGTCTTTAAATTTGCTCTTGTGCCATAGGCAGCAAATTAGAAGATGTTTGAGTGTCATGTTATCTTGGGTGAGAGGAGGAATTCGAACAAAAGTGCCCAACGCGTGGAAGAATGTCGGTTTCCTCTTTATCAGTATTTTCACGAGCGCCTGACTGATTTCATCTCGATGCATTGCGTGTTATAACACTCCATTGAACGCATAGAGCCTGCTGTTGAGCGGGGATATGCGCTATACCAATGTTATTTATTTGTTATTATTATTGTTATCTCTCCCCCCCCTCTCTCACTCTCTCTATCTTTCAATCTCTCTCTCCCTCTCTCTATCTCTCTCTCTCTCTCTCTCTCTCTCTCTCCCTCTCTCTCTCTCTCTCTCTCTCTCTCTCTCTCTCTCTCTCTCTCTCTCTTCCTCACTCACTCTCAATCTCTCACCCTCTCTCTATCTATCTCTATCTATCTCTATCTCTCTCTCTCTCTCTCTCTATCGTTCACCTTCCCCCTTGTTTCCTCCCCCAGGTTATGGCACCCAGAAATCCATGTGGCCAACACACTAGACGACCTGGTCAAGGTCGCTGACCCCTACTACCTCCAGCTCTCGTCTGACGGCACGGTACAGTTCGAGGTGGCCACCACCCTCAGAACCACATGCCCGTTTGACTTGACAGAATTCCCCTTTGACACGCAAGACTGCGGAATCACCATGGTGCTGAAAGGCTTCGACATACACGTCAGACCCAGCGTCGACGACATCCGAATCATCGAAGACGGGAGTCTCAATCTGATCTTCACCAAGACGGAATGGACCATCGAGAGCTCGGAAATGGACGTCCTTACTTTGAACAACGAGAAGCCGCTCATCAACTTGCGAGTGACCATCAGACGAGCCCACCTGTACTACACATTGTGCGTCATCCTGCCCGTTATGATCACGTCATGGGTCAGTTTGCTGGTCTTCTGGATCCCGCCCGACTCAGGGGAGAAAATGTCCTTTCTGGTCTCCAACTTTGTGTCGCTCACCCTCTACTTCAACTTTATCGGGTGAGCTTGGGAACCATGTGTGGACGTGGGTGGTTGGCGGGTGAGCTTGTGAGCCATGTGTGGACGTGGGTGGTTGGCGGGTGATCTTGTGAGCCATGTGTGGACGTGGGTGGTTGGCGGGTGATCTTGTGAGCCATGTGTGGACGTGGGTGGTTGGTGGGTGAGCTTGTGAGCCATGTGTGGACGTGGGTGGTTGGCGGGTGAGCTTGGGAACCCTGTGTGGTCATAGGTGGTTGGCGGGTGAGCTTGTGAGCCATGTGTGGACGTGGGTGGTTGGCGGGTGAGCTTGGGAACCCTGTGTGGTCATAGGTGGTTGGCAGGTGAGCTTGTGAGCCATGTGTGGTGATACCTTGTTCCCACCACTTGTTTACTTACTTCCTCTCTCCCTATACCGTCAGGTACATAAGGCTGAGAGCAGTGTTGATTTACTTACTTACTCTCTCCCTATACCGTCAGATACATAAGGCGGAGAGCAGTGTTGATTAACTTACTTACTATCTCCCTATACCGTCAGGTACATAAGGCGGAGACTGAGAGCAGTGTTGATTTACTTACTTACTCTCTCCCTATACCGTCAGGTACATAAGGCTGAGAGCAGTGTTGATTTACTTACTAACTCTCTCCCTCTACCGTCAGGTACATAAGGCTGAGAGCAGTGTTGATTTACTTACTTACTCTCTCCCTCTACCGTCAGGTACATAAGGCGGAGAGCAGTGTTGATTTACTTACTAACTCTCTCCCTATACCGTCAGGTACATAAGGCTGAGAGCAGTCGACGCCACGCTTGTCTGTCCCGGGCCATTTTCTGTAATTTCGGCACATCCAGGCCCTAGGTGATTGCTTCACCTTTTAAAGTGCCTCTACAGCTTACTGTTAGTCTTCTGCGCTTTCTCTTTCCACTTGGTTCCCAACGCCATGTCTGATAGGGCAATATTGTCTTTGGCATTCTCAGAACATGTCCCAGATATCTCCATATCTTCTCTCTTTTATGATTGTGTTGATATTTTCAATTCCAGCTCTTTCCAACATTTCATTATCTGTAATAAATTCTTGCCATTTCATTCCCAGCTTTACCCAGCACCGGTTGTTTATCCTTAAATTTGTCCTAGTTTTGGTTTGGTCTGGTTTGGGTTTTTTAAGGGGGGGGGGGGGGGGATCTTTTGTTTGTGTTTGTTGTGGGGTTGTTGTTGTTGTTCTTTTTGGGGGGGGTGAAATTTTTTTGGAGGATGGTTTATTTAACTATCTTTTAAAATTAATTGTAGTCTTCTTTTCTGAGAACCAGACCTGGGACGGACATCGGCGATCATGATTTAACACTTATTTCTCTGCTCAGAATGTTCTTGAAAAAAAAGAAGTAATACATAAATGAAAACGTACATATTATCTCGTGGTCTGTTTTGTTACCCATGTTTTCCCGTCCTCAAAGTGAATTATTGTCGCTACATGTTCATTTCGAAACAATCGGTGGATTGGTTTTTTGTGACGTTTGGCTTGTGAATAACAGAGACTGTAGTGTTACGTTTTTAGGGGGGAGGAGGGGGGAGGGGCTGGTTTATAAACCTATCTCGGTAACTATGACCTTTCAGATACAGCCTTATAGCAAGGAAGTACAACAGGAAAACATCTCTAAATAGTAACTTTAGCTTTTTGTTTAAGTCTTTTAAACTACGGCTTTTGGTGTTTTTTTAGACTTACAAGTGACTGAAGTATTGTAATACATAAAAAGCCCAGATACCATAAATAGACCCAACTTTAACTCCCCCCCCCCATTTGAGCAGCTTGATCCGCAAGCTTGAAGAGAGTTGTTGTTGTTGGAATCTGAAAGGTAGGATGAGAAATCCAGATTGATTGCTCACTTGAAGAAATGTCCGGATTGCAGCTGTCATTCGCGACTTTGTCACAAGTATACCTGGAAAATACCGCATTGACGCTCTAAAACATGTTTCTTTCTTTCTTTCTCCTCTTCCTTATCTTCTCTCTCACCCTCTCTCTCTCTCTCTCTCTCTCTCTCTCTCTCTCTCTCTCTCTCTCTCTCTCTCTCTCTCTGTATTTACAACACAATTTGCTCGGACACGGACGCACATTTTTAGATCCTGGAGAAAGTTTTCTAACCGCAAATACAAAATAGTTACCACACTCTTGTCTTATCGATTTCACTTCAATGCCAGATCATATAATCGATAAAGCAGATAACGGGCGTGAATCTCGCAACAGTGCCCGAGCTAAAGGACAGGTTTCCAAGAGGTGACAGAACCAAAAAATGGGAGGTGGAGGTGGCGGGGGGTGTAAAACGATAGAGAGAATTTATAACGCTATTGTAAACAGACACCAGAATGAGGAAGCACGGGATAAAAGTGCATAATTTACTCGCTATAAAGATAGTGTAAAAGTTTGGGAAGGAAGTGGGTAGTTTCAGAGTTTATGTATTGCAAAACCGAAGGAATGGT